CAACTACCCCTCACTGTCAGCACTCAGTGAGTCTACAGACTCATCCAGCATCAATATCCGTCCTCTGAGCTACTTTGAGGATGTGACAGCAGCTGTGTCAGAGGTCAGAGATAAACTACAGGACATTCTGAGAGAGGAACGGACAAACATCTCACTGACAGTCACTGAAGTGGATGTTTTAGTGTCAGATCCACCAGCAGAGCCAAAGACCAGAGCTGAATTCTTAAAATATTTGCGTGACATCACACTGGATCCAAACACAGCAAACACACAGCTGTTAGTATCAGAGAGGAACAAAAAAGTTACATTTGTGAAATATCAGCAGTCTTACCCTGATCATCCAAACAGATTCAGATATTGTTGTCAAGTTCTGGGTAGAGAACGTCTGACTGGACGTTGTTACTGGGAGGTGGAGAGGAAAGGGCGAGTTTATGTAGCAGTCGCGTACAAGAACATTAGCAGAGCAGGGTGTGGAAAAGTGTGTGGATTTGGTCGTAATGACAAATCTTGGGCATTAGATTGTTCCAAAAACAGTTACACATTTTGGCACAACAACATTGAAACTCCAGTTTCAGGTCATGGGTCCTCCAGAGTAGGAGTGTACCTGGATCACAAAGCAGGTATTTTGTCTTTCTATAAAGTCTCTGAAACTATGACTCTCCTCCACAGAGTTCAGACCACATTCACTAAGCCGCTTTTTGCTGGACTTTGGTTTTACAATAATTATGGAGATATTGCTGAGTTCATCAAACTGAAATAGACTGAACTCGTTCATATTGTTGTGGGTTTAAATTGGAGTGGATTTTTCACTTGAGCTAGAATTTTTGCTTTGCTGCTCAGTTATGTTTTCATTAGCAATTTAGAAAAGTTGATGGTGGTGGTGGGTGTGTGTGTGTGTGTGTGTGCGTGCCCACACTGTGAGCACGCAGGTCGCATCAGGGCGTATAATGTGAGAAGGATGACCTATGAACTTTTAACCCCTGCGATTCAGTGGTACAGTTTGAGCAGGAGCTGAATACTGCGACTGAAAAAACACACAGTGTATTCCCAGCTTTAGATGTTATAATCCTATACCTTTGATAATTGCAATCAATGATAACTTCATGCATTGTTTTTAATGTTTAGCATGTGAACAAAGTGAAGGTTTTTACTATAAATAACTTTTTGTTCAGTTTTTCTCCCGAAACACCTGAAATACTTTCAATTCAATTTAAATTCAATTCAATTTTTTTTATATAGTGCCAAATCACAACAAAGGTTGATTCAAGCCTCTTAACCTCAGGGACTAACTGTAGTATATAAACATAAAAATATAGAGCACACTCTTGTGTTGCAGTTGAAGTTCCTTTGAGAATTTGAGGTCCAAGGTGTTGGTTTTCTTTTTAACAACAGTTTAATGAGTAGCCCATATAAAGTCTTTGTGTATTCGGCAGTGTTGGGAAGGTTACTTTTAAAATGTATTCCATTACAGA